GAAGAAGAAGAAGAAGAAGAAGAAGAAGAAGAAGAAGAAGAAGAAGAAGAAGAAGAAAGAAGAAGAAGAAGAAGAAGAAGAAGAACGAGAACAAGAACAAGAACAAGAAGAAGGGGAGCTGAGGTAAGCCCATTTGAGGTATTTGCAAGAAAGGAGCTCAACTAATAATAGAGTTCCTTTCCCATTCTCTTGATCCCAAGGCTACTGCTGCCTGTAACTCCTATGACATAATGTAATGGGCAGGGTGATGTTGCAATGCGCCTCCGTCTAAGTGCCATAGGAGACCCACAGAGCAAGGGGATACTTTGAAGGAGGAGGTATTTGAGCTAAGCTTGGAAGGTAGAGGTAGAATAAGACACCTGAAATAAACTTAAACTTTTAATCTAGTACTCCTAGTACTCAAGGGAAACACTTGAGCCAAGTTACAGAGGTGAGATTGTGTGCTGTGTTATTTGTATTCAGAATTTTATACTTCCTCACACTTAGAACACAATTACTGAGGGCATGATTATGGTGAGTTGATGGCAGTAAAAAAAAAAATAAACATTTGTTATAGCCTTTTTCCTGACTGCACCCACATGAAGAGCCAATCAAAATCTTTATAGCCCCTTATAGTGGTGGGAGTTGACTACTGCCCTGGTGACAAAGGAGAAATACTAGATTGTTTCCAACTTGGGAGGGGATGGTGGTGGCAGTAGTTGGCTTTCCTTAACAGCCAGGCTCTGGTTCAAGTTCCTTAACAGCCAGGCTCTGGTCAAAGTCTATAAAGGGAGACTTTATAAGAGTAAAGACTTCTGAATTACAGAATGGACTCAAGGGATAGGGGAGGTAGGTGTACTAGCTGGAGAAGTATTCTGTGCCCTGAAACTTCTGCTCCACCCCTGGAGGTAGCAGCTTCTTTTGATTACCACCCACCCCCAGCTTCCTTTCCTCTCTCACTCTGCATCTTTATCCACATACTCCAGACCTTCCCAGAAACAGTTTTATTCTGGGTATACGGGAGTATGGTGAAACTAAATTCTGAAGGGAAAGACCTTTTCTGGTAAGCCTCCCAGCAGAGATCACCAAATACTGAAATTCAACATGACGAAGTAACTGCTTGAGCTCAAGTTGACCCTTGAGATCTCCAAATAGTAAACTGTCAGGAGACTGTAGCTAGACAAATGAAGTGTAACTCATTTTGTATTCACTATGCCAGTGGTCCCCAACCTTTGTAGCACCAGGGACCTGTGCTCCTATGAGAATCTAATGCCTGATGATCTTAGATGGAGTGAGGCAGTGATGCTAGTGCTAGGGAGCAGCTGCAAATACAAATGAAGCTTCACTAGCTCACCCACCGCTCACTTCCTGCTGCGTGGCCCGGTTCCTAACAGGCCACAGACTGGTACTGCTCTGCAGCCCAGGGGTTGGGTACTCCTGCACTACACTATAGACCTATCTATTTTAATATATCTCTTCTTATTACAAAAGTGGCTAAAAAAAAGGAGAGAACTTCCAATATTTAATGTAGAAAAGTTGGAAAATAGAGAAATGCAGTCATTTATAATACATAACTACTGTCAAAATTTCAGTGTATACCCTTACTTTTCTCTGTGTGTATTATTTTCCAAAAGTTGAATTTTGCTATACAGTTTGCTTTTTTCACTTAATAATACATGCATATTTTATATATCATTAGTCTTCGAAAAATGATATTTAGTGGCTAGATATTCCCTTCTATGGATGTACCATCTCTGTTTAACCAATTTCTATTTATCAGACATTTAATTTGTTTTCAATTTTTTGCTACTGTAACAATGTTATATTGAAAATTCTTACAGATAAATCTTTTCACAAATTTATAACTGTTTCCTTAGAATGAACCCAAATGTATAATTAGTAAGCTGATCTTTAAATTCACCTTTCCCCACACTGTGAACCCTGAAGGCCTTTCATCTTACTTTCTTATCTAAGTGCGTTTGGGGCAAGAAACTAGGTAATTTGGGGGTAACAAAACCTCAAAGTTTCACAAAATGGTGATATTTCCTAAAAGAATTCAACAAACTAGCATTAGATTAACTAGGGTAAAATATTTTTAATGTTAATTTTAAAAGGATCAAAAGATAGAGGAAGAAAGGTAGTTCATTTAGAGGATAGTTTTTTCTAAGACAAAAAATAGAGAGATAGCTGTTTAGCTTTTGATTTAATAATTTTTCAAAAATGACAGTGTGTGAGCAGTCATGTCCATAAAAGTCTATAAAAATGTGACAGTGACAAGGACTGTCATTGAATCAATATATGTACAAAAGGAATTTAGTAAGGATGGAAATACTCCCCAAATTGATCTATATAATCAGTGCAATCACTATCAAAATTCTATTTGTCCTTTTTTACAGAAATTGACAAACTGATCCTAAAAGTCATAGAAATGTAAGGGACTCAAGATAGCCAAAATAATCTTGAAAAATAAAAATTAAGTCAGAAGACTAATACTTCTCAATTTCAAAACTTACTACAAAACTACAATAATAAGACAGTGTGGTACTGGCATATAAATAGACAGATAGATCAATGGAATAGAACTTAAAGTGCAGAAATAAACCCTTATATTTATGGTCAGCTGATTTTCCTGAAGGACAACAGTTCAGTGGGGGAAAGAATAGTCTTTTCAACAAATGGCTCTGAATTTCCACATGCAAAAGAATGAAGCTGGATCCATACCTCACACCATATGCAGAAAATACTTCATAATGTATCAGAGACCTAAAGGTAAAAACTAAACTAAACTCAAAACACTCTTACGTGAAAACATATGTGTAACTTCATGACCTTGCATTAGGCAATAGTTTCTTACATGTAAGAAAAAGCATAAACAAAAAGGGAAAAAATAAATCAATTGGACTTCATCAAAATATAAAAATTTGTGCTGGATAGGACACTATCCAGAAAGTGAAAAGACAACCCACAAAACAGGAGAAAATATTTGCAAATCTTATATTTGATAAATGACTAGTATCCAGACTATATAAAAAATACTTACAACTGGACAATAAAAAGGCAATTAATTAAAAAATGAAAAAATATTTGAATAGATGTTTCTACAAGGAAGATATACATATGGTCAATATTTACATTAAAGATGCTCAACATCATTAGTCATAGGGAAATGCAAATCAAAATCACGATGAAATACTACTTATACCCAGTAGGGTAGCTATAATAAAAAAGAATAATAAGCATTGGTAAGACTGTGAAGAAATTAGAACCCTCATAGACTGCAGGTGGGAATGTAAAGTGGTGTAGCCACTTAGTGAAACAGTTTGGCAGTTTCTCAAAAATTAAATATAGAGTTACTAAATGATTTAGCAATTTCATTCCTACATGTATACTCAAGACAATTGAAAACATATCTGCACAAAAACTTATACATGAATAGTCATAGCAGCATGATTCATAATGTCCAAAAAGGTAGTCACAATTCAAGTTTCCATCAATAGATAAACAAAATGTGGTATATCTATACAACGGAATATTATTCAGTCATAAAATGGATTACTGATATGTTCCACAATGTGGATGAAACATTATGCTACGTGTAAGAAATTAGAAACATAAGACCATATGTTGTATGATTTATTTACATAAAATATTCGGAAGA